TAAATGCGATTACTCCACCGATATTTACTATATGGGGGTAGCTATCTTGAACACTGATTGAAACTAAATAAAGAGACAAGTTGAGAAACAGTTTCCTATAAATCAGGGAGAAAATCGGCCGACCCCCTACTGTGATATAGATTCATCCAGAGTGGGCGTGACCACAGGACGGCGCCAGCGAGATTCGAAAGCCAACCGTTCAGTCAAAACCCAAGCAGTTACTGCCCCAATACTTCTGAGACTTGCTGTAAATGTTCAGACATTAGGATTTGTTATCGACGCAGAAGAGTTATGGCTCATCCCATATACTTGCGTGACACGAACGTGCGACGCCGAATGCCGCCGAAAATAAAAGTCGACAACCGGGTATTAATAGAGAACATAACTTTTATCACAACTTTTGTTTCAAAAGTTGTACTATTGTCATCCCAGTGCCTTCACCGTTATGGCTTTCTGTTCACAAACAACGGTTATACTTTCATAACATTTCTTTGTTTATTTATGTATTTCAGTGTAGTTTCTGTATCTTGTAATTCCATGGTTCCCTGCGTTACGCGCTGTATGTATGCGTGTGCCCCCCCGGAGGGGAGGGGGTTGATACATAGCCGGGTAGGGAAGTGCCCCTGAGTGCTCAAAAGTGTGACCTTTTTTTACCTGGATAGTGGCAAAATCTATACCCATATTTATACCAAAGTACCATTTCTGTCATCACTGTTTATTCCAAATAAAACAGTTACCGTATTTGCTCTATTGAGAAGAGCATCTCAAATAGAAGCACATGTAAGCCAACAGTTAAATTGTATATTGATTTATTAAAATATGTATTTTGACCATAGAAACACCTCTGTCACTTACATAAAAGCATATTATTAACACAATGTTCAGGTTATTTATATCAAATCGGAAAAATATTACCGATATTTATACCTATCTTGACGTGAAATAAGACCGATACTTATACCTAAAATCCAACGAGACCCATTTCAGGGGCACGTCCCTATTAGGCAAGTTCTATGTATTGCCCCCCGGGGGGGGGGGTGCGTGTGTTGGGCGATGTTAGTTTTATCTCGGAGTTGGTTGTCTGAGATTTTACCATCACAGGCAGGCATGGATCTAATCTTATTATTTAGTCGACACATATAGCGAAGAGCTCTTCGTTTATACGACATAGACGACAACAACGACGCTGAGATTACGATTTTTGTCTCGTATAATTCCGTCTTTGGTCTGGTATTGGTCGTTCACATTTTAGTACGGATTAAAAAAATGGTCAAAATACAGTAACTTTTGTGGAAATCACGATAACGTCTCGCGAGAATTTTCGAGACTAGAGAACGGAAGCAGAATCGAATCACACCACCGTGTCATGTGACGTCCCTGACACTGTGACTCCTTAGCAAATACATAACACCGATTCGTTGGTGTAGTCAGGAAACGTTTAGTGCGGTCTCTTCGAGTGGACAGAATACCACATTATATCTTGCATCGTGGAGGAGTACCCGTTTTGTGACCAGTCGCGACAAGGACCACGAACATTTTAAATTGTCGTGCCCATGCGTGTTGATTTCTTTTTTTCACGATGGCAGGCCACTCTCTCTTAACGCGTGTTTTACCGTTCGTTGTTGTATGTACTTTGATTCAGGTATGTAGTAACATGATCTAGTTAACAACGCATTTTTGTGCAACGTAATCGATATTTAAATTTTTAGATCGTGGTTTATCCAAAGACACTAGAAAAAAAGTGTCTTTGGTTTATCTGGTGGAGTCGCGCTTTGTCGCGTCATTCATGTTCTATATTGCCACAGCAAGAGATGGTGTATGCCGTCGTGTACCAGCAGCCGGCCTTCAGTCACACCCTCCGCGATGACATCATTTTAATTTCTGAAGGTCGCGCAAATTCCTGTATACTCATCATTGCGTGTAAATGACGGTATAAGCAAATATTTAGACCTATACTGGGAATGTTTAACATCTGCAATGGACCGATAAAGCTGAAAATGACATTGTTGTGAACAACATATTGATCTAGAAATATTTTAAATTTCACACGTGAACTTTTCCGTTTTTACGCACACTTACGTTCAAATTGTTTGTTTTTCATAATTACTGTAAATCCCCCTCTTTGTGTGATATAATTTAATCGCACTTACGAATGACCTCAACTACAATGAAACTATTTCTGTTAAAGTCAAACACCATAAGCACTGAGAAATCAGATTAAAAGTTAGTTGATTTGTTTTGACAGGTTTCCAGTTAAGACAGTATACAGTTAATACGGTACAGGTTTAATTATATTTATGTCCCTTCATCTTCACTTTTTTGATGATTCTGCTGGTTATTTGGTAGTGGTTGTACAGAAACCACTAAAGCAAGTTCTCAGCTGCTGAGAAATTGCTGATTAAACTACCTGGCCTGATGACTCAGTTGGCTGGCATGCAACTCAGCAACTTGTCAGAAACAAACCACGATCTCCTACATCACCTATCCACAGAATCAACACTTTCCAAAAATCCAGCCAATCTAATTCCATTTCATGTCCAAATATCAGTCATTCGCGATGCATAGACAGTCGTGACAAGTTAAATCAAAGTTGATTCAAAAATCGAGTAGCATAAATGATGAACTAAAAATTTATCAGGACTGAGAACGGCCGCTTCGGCAAAAGTCACTTATAACTCGGAAAGTTTTGTAAAACACTGACATCGTCCTATAGTCGGTGCTGGCTAAGTGAACTGCACATACGTATACAATGTAGTAAGTAACAAGCCTATATGTATATATCACCCCTGTGTACACTGGAAAACTAAATAATGATTCAATTATGCAGTATTAACAAATTTATGATTCTCATATCGTCAAAATGGTATTTTGTTCCCTGCTACTAGCATGGTAATTGACAATCCTATTAAAATTTAATTTTTATTTCAATTTTTTTAATTATTTTTGTGTGATTTTAATTTTTTTTTCAATTATTTCACAAATTTTTATTTTTCATAATTGTCTGATTGTGAAAACTCCAAAATCTGAACAACCTACATAGAAGATCTTGTTCAATTCTCACAAACCTAAATAACCAATCAGAAAAGGCTTTATATACAGATATGCACATAAATGGCATAGTTATTGTATACAAGGCTTTCTGGGATTGGTTGACTAATCAAATTATTTGAGATCTCACAAACAAGATCTTCTATGTTGTTCAGGTTGTTCTTTAGATGTCCGAAAATTGATAAATAGAACTAAGCAAATAAATTTGAAAAAATATGACTAAAATAAAAAATGAGTAAGTAAAAGTAATGAACAATTGAAAGACTAAAATAGAAAGAAGAAAAGCCTAATAATATCTGATAATGTCTGGGTTGGAATGTTAGGTTTCAGCCGACTTCTCAGCCTTTATCACTTCTAGTTAAGTCTGATGTCTATGTCTGGGCGAGATGCAAATCATAGACGTGTTTGTTAATTGAGTTTGAATTGTCTAGTTAGACTTCAAAATGTTTTCTATAATTAATATTCAATTCACTGTATTATTTCTGTTCAGCAATAGCTTTGATGTTTAATTTAAATTATTCGTATTACTATTATATCATACAAGTTGTATTTGACCTATGACGTTATTACCACGATCAGTGATTGGTTTAGAACCGATCTATCACAACTTGAGTTTTGTGTCATATGACACTTGAGATGATCGCGCCATTGTTTTCGTTATTATTATTTTTACGTTTTGTTGTTGTTGTTTCAAGCCGATGTCGATGTTTCCATTTCAAAGTTCAATAAATGTCAATCCTGACATGAAACTTTCCGACTTCGTGAATTGTTCCGACCTATAGTGTACAGTGGCTATACTTCGAGCCAAATCACAGCCACAGTCTATGTCCTATTTTTGAATTTTGATTTAAAAATCATAAATACTTTCAAATTGTTCTTGTACCATGGATGGAGTTATAACTCTCCTCTAACAACAGAATCGCTGAAACTATTGTTTCAATACTCTCTTTAAATTCATAATAATTCTTTAAAATATTTAAATTAAAAAAAAATTGCCAGAAAGAAAATGAAAAGAACACGACACATTCATATACTGACACAAAAGTATTGAAACCATATGACCAATCTACATACAATATACCGTCCATGTCAAAGTTGAATAACCTCTCTGTTAACAACAATGCATGTAGACACACTTATACGAGTCATTGTCCATGAGAGCAATTCAAAGAAGCATTCTCAACAATTAATAATTTATTGTTAGGGTTGGGGATAACCTTTGCCATCAATCAAATAAAAGTAAGGCCCACTAAAAAACTAATTACTCAGAATGTTAAATGGGGATGGGTATGGCAGGTGAATAATTTAATGTTCATTTTGGATTTTAGGTGTACTGGTTAGAAAAACAGAAACAAACAAAATGGTATGAGCACAATGTGTTGGCAAAATACAGATGACAAAACTGGGAAGTTTTCCTGAAATTTCTTGGGGGAAAAAATCCTTGCTTTTTTGTGAGAAAAAATAAAAACCAAATATTGCCATCTTGCCATTAATACTTTGAGATCCAAGGTCAACTTTTGTAAATTTTTACAAAATAATTATTAATTTTACCCATATTTGGGACTGAAGAGTGTATCAAAAAAATGTAGCCATCTATGATTTTTCTGTCACTGGTAGTGGATGTATAATACGAACACAAAATGTCTTGGAATAGCTCTTTTTGTTAACATCACCTCTGCCCAGAAAAAAATCATAATAGTTAAATTTTATAACAATATATGTTAATTTCCTACATTGTTTTTATTGTTATGGTAATTACAATTCGTATAAACAAAAACGAGAACTTGTAGATTGACTTTTTGTCACTGTCAAATCCAAAATGACTGACTGGTGGCCATCTTGTTTGAATGAATGCAGTTCCACAGAGCCATTATGGATATCACATTGGTAGTCATGCAAAATTTCATGCCTATTATACATTAACAATGACTTGTTGATCGTTATTGTTTATCCGTAATAATAAGGGGGGGTCCAGCCTCTAATGCTCCTGGGAGAACCCAGAATATTAACCTTAAAGCTGTGGGCTGTTTGACCATCAAAATGTTCTTTTTTTCATATCTTGCATTCACTTGAATATTGAGGTTGATATTCTACTTGGCATTGGTATGAAGTTGTACTTTGCTGTTATTACTTTCAATCGTTTTGGTTTATGAAATGCAGTGTGTGATGCATGCTTTGTATCACATGACAGAGAAATATGTACGGTCTAACAAGTTACAAATGTATGTGACCCATTTTTTCGTCCCAGTGACAATGAACTTTCTTTCTTTCTGCTCCTGAACTACCGTACTATCTTTGGACAAACAAAACTTGTGGGTCTTTCTTTTCAATTGTAATCTCGGAATAATGTTGATCATGATTATCTCAGTTTGATAATTGTACGGTCAGATCTATCTATCGTTCCTAGTCTCTCTTGACTTTATTTTTATGCCCAAATTACATGTACTGACTACGTACGTGTACATTTAACCACAGAAATCATTTTCTATATTTGAGACATAGGGCTGTGATAAGACTGTGTGACTAGTTGGTGACCAGCGAATTGTCCTATGATGAGTCAGTATCCACCTATTGTCTCTTGTGATTCTGTTATTGTACATTCCATTGTTCGAAAACCTCACACTTCAACTCAATTTGACAAAGTACAACTAATATGCACAATCTTTGTTATCGATTAATGTGATGGATAATGATCTTTGACTTCAAAGGTTATATGACATTAGTTTATGCTTGTCTTTATTGTAAAATATCATATTTGCAATATTGGTAATTTAAGCATATGGTTATGTACAGGTAATAACGAGGTGTGTCTTTGGTTAAAATACAGCATATATACAGTGTATGTACAATGTATGGACAGTCCAGTTTTTGGCTTGTGTTTGCTTTTATTGCACTGGATACAATACCACTGACGTTTACAGTAATTTGTCTCTACTGAACTTATATTTTCTAGTTCAAGGGTACCGCTGACATTTACAGTAATATTTCTAGACTTTTTAAAACTTTTTATTCCCAGTTAAATGCTATCATAAAATTCCTAGACTGATTTGGAACTTCAATTATTTTTTTTCTTGGCCTAAATGATTTTCCCCACCAGTCTTTTCACTCTTTTTCTACAAGCTTTCTGATTGGTTAATCAGTGACCTAATGAGTTAAGTGAAATGCACCGTAGGAGTACCAGGGCCATACTGTTATGTTGTTAAGTTGAAATATAATGATAATAATAATAATAATAACTTTATTGCATCCTTAGAAATACAATGTTTCTATCAATTAATAGCAATAAAGATTAGATATATGTATACTTATTAAATGTTTTATTGGATGTTCATAATACAAGCCTTCTGATTGGTTAATCTGTGACCTAATATGTTAAGTAGAGGCTAATGAGGGATGTCTGCCACATTGGTGGATATTGATAATATAATATAATGTTATTACAAGAATCCCCCAAACTATGTATTAGGACTGTTTCGGATAGACTGATACGCAATGAAGGCTGATGCAATACTTTACGAGTGTACGTGTGCTTTTGTGATAACCTATGTTTTTTGCTTGCTTGTAATTGTGATTTAGTGAGCGAGAACAGCCAAAAATACCTGTAAAAGCTTTTCAAAAGATTTGTGCTTTGATTGTTTGTATTTGTGATGAGGTTCTGTTACTATCTCTCACTACACTGCTCCTTCATCTGATGTAACAAAGTTTAATTGTGACGTAAATGTTAAAGAATTTAAAATGTAGTTTGTTAACCTCTTCACCACCAAACTTTCATGCTCAAATTTGTCTGCACTTTTTTCTTATATTCTTCAGTATTTCTGGAAATAAACCTTCATTTTGGTTTTGCTCAATCTTCTGAAGGAAAGTGCAGACTGTAAACACGACTATTTTGTGAATTTGTGATGAAAAGAAGGAAATGTTGGTGAAAAGGTCAATTTCAAATGCATATTGAATAAATACAGAAACAGCACTGCTAGATGTATTAATATTTGTATGTTAATTTTCAGATATGCATTAGTAAAGATGTACACGAAGATGGACGTTGTGTTTGGTATGGGCAATGTAGCTATAATCACATCAATGGAAAACACCTCAACTGTGCTTACAATGGTAAAGCCAAGCCTTTCACAGACCCCAAAGATGTGGAACTTCTGAGAGAAGTCTGTCCCGATTTGGCATCCCAAGGTGGAGACCCACCGATAACTTGTTGTAACGCAGATCAGCTACGCAACCTCAAGTCCAGTTTGCAAGTTCCCGACCAGACGTTTTCACGCTGCCCTGCTTGCTTGTATAACTTCTATAAACTGTATTGTGAGTTCACCTGCAGTCCTAATCAGAGTCGTTTTCTGAACATTACGAAGTATTCTACCGACTTTGCCCCACTTAACGACACCGAATTGAGTACCGAAACAGAAATGGGTGTCTCTGCATTTCAGTTGCGTGATAGTGAATCCTCACTAGCTACTGACAGATTTGATGTGACAAGTTCAAAAAACTATACTCTTAGTGCTAACGAAGTTACGTATTATCTCGAACGTGATTTTGCTGAAGGATTTTACAACTCATGTGCCAACGTACTGTTTCCGAGTTCCAATTCCAAAGCCATTTCAATGTATTGTGGTATACATACCGCTGATGATTGTACCGCTCAATACTTTTTAGATTTCATGGGAGATACCAATAATGGCCAAGCTCCGTTCCAGATAAACTTCACTCTTGTTAATAATCAGACATTGCCGGACAACATGAAAGCGTTGAACACTTCTTATTTTCCTTGCAGCCGTGCAATCAACAACAATTCCCAACCATGCAGTTGTCAGGACTGTCCAGCTGTGTGTCCTCCAATGCCGGTTCCGCCATCGCTGCCGCAACCGTGGGAATTGTTTGGGATGTACGGCGTACTGTTCATCATGATCCTTGTATTTGTAACGTTCGTTGTTGTTTTCCTAATCACACTAGTGTGCTATTACGCATTCCGAAATAAAGGTAGACCTACGCCAGATTATTCTATCAACGGGGGCAGCTATGTAAATACAAGAATAGTCACTGCTAATGACATTAGATGTCTAGAGAAAATCGGTGCTTTCTTTGAGTGGAAGTTAAAACAGGTGTTCATGAAGTGGGGCACTCTGTGCGCTAAGTATCCGCTCCCCGTGATTGTAATTATGCTTGCTCTCGCGGCTGTCGCTTGTGTCGGTGTAATGTACTTGGAAATCACAACAGATCCTGTTGAATTGTGGTCTGAACCGAGTAGCCGTGCCCGACAGGAGAAGGATTATTTTGACCAGAAGTTTGGACCATTCTATCGCACTGAGCAGCTGATAATAACGGCACCGAACACCAACAGTACAACATATAGTACATATCCTTATGCTAGCATCATACCTTTTGGTGGTGTATTGTCTTTGGAT